GTCTCTCTGTGTCTCAAAAATAAATAAACATTAAAAAAATAAAAATAAAAAAAATAAAATAAAATGGAAACATTCTGAGGTAGGCATGGATTATTGCCACTCAAAGTATATTGATGACATTTGCTCAAAAAGAAAGGAAATTTCATTTTCTAACTATCAAAGTATTACTTACTGTGCATTTTCCTGATACTCTCGGATAACACAATCTTCTCTTTGCAAAATATGTAAAAATCTATTGCGTGCTATATGGCATCTGGCAATGCATTTATGCATATCTTGTGGCTTTACATTAAATGTCTCTGTAAAATGTATAGATGAATCTACATGGAACACAAATAAGATCACAGAAAACTTTGACTTAAAGCTAATGGATATCAAAAAGGTTGAAATTTATTAATTTTAAGAGATTAACAACTCATACAACTAACAACTCCTTAAAAGCAGGTATGCCACATCCACAAGAAAGATACAATTAATTTTAACAAAAACAAAGAAACCCAGTTTTAGGTAGACAACTAAAAATGGTATCTGAAGTTAAGTTCTTTTATGTAATTAAAAACTTTGAGAGTCCATCTGTCCCAAATAATTCTTATTATCACAGCTTGATATAGCCTTGAACAAATACTTTCTTATACATGAACTTCTTACTCTTAACAGAATCTTTTCACAACAAAGGAAGAAAATCAATTAAAAGAGATGAGGTGAGATCACACCACCACCTTTGCTGCCATCAGTTTATTTTTCTACCTAGTAAGACTAATAGGACAACCAACTAAAACCAGTCTCTACTTCTCAAATAATTCTTAGCTATGTTACTAATGATCAAAGCAGATCCTGAGAACAATCCGTCCAAACATTTCGGAGTCCACATCCTGCTCTAAGATGATTCAATACAATAACAATGCATATTCTGGAAAACAGGGATCACCTCATTGCACTTAGCACTACTAATCCAAGTCCTAGTGTTAACTCCAAAGAAACCTAATTTCTAAATATTTAACTGGGGATTAGTTTACTGAATGTAGAAGTCATCCAGAGACTGAACATGTTGACTGGAATTACTTCCAATCAGAAACAGCACAACTCATGCTTAGAAGTCTTATGCACAGTAAACTCTTGCTAAATCCAACCACATGTATTTCATATAAAATAGTTTGGGCTACATGTAATTGGAATAGACCATCTACTAAAAGAAAAACTGGTAGCAATGCTTATGTTGCGTTAAATTTTAAATATGCAGGGGCGCCAGGGTGGCTCAGTTGGTTGGGCGACTGACTTCGGCTCAGGTCATGATCTCACGGTCTGTGGGTTCGAGCCCCGCGTCGGGCTCTGTGCTGACAGCTCAGAGCCTGGAGCTGCTTCCGATTCTGTGTCTCCAGCTCTCTCTGCCCCTGCCCTGCTCACTCTCTGTATCTCTCTGTCTCTCAACAATAAATAAATGTTAAAAAAAAAAATTTTTTTTTTAATTTTAAATATGCATATATTTATACAGCAAGATCACATGTATAAGTTTTTAAAAATCAAGCAAAGAATATAAACTGAAAAAGAAGGTTCACATATCACAGAGAAAGGACATTAAGAGCTCCTATAATAAAAAAGAGCAGTAACGTAAGAGAAAAATGGACGATTACAGAATGCAAAAAGAATATGAATTGCTCTTAAATATATGAAACAACTTTCAATCTAACTAAATAATAAGAGAGATACAAATTAAAACTACCCTGAGATTCCATTTTAATCTATCAGGCTGAAAAGATAAAATGTGTGACCACACACAATGTTGTTGAGCCTTTGGAAAAAACAGACATTCACTGTACACTGGTGATAGAAGCATAAATCATCCAATCCCTACAGAAAACAATCTGATAATAACCAGCAAATTAGAAATCTGGAAATTTGACCCTGGAAGCAGTCTTCAGGAATTACATATACATATATACACACACACACCATACATGTATATGTGTGTATGTACGTGCATATACACAGATACACACAAAGTCATATACGGATAAAGCTTGTCAATGTAGCACTGTTTTTGTAGCAAAAACAAAACAAAAAAAGGGCGGGGGGGTGGAAGCCAAATGTCTGTCAACAGAAGACTAGTTAGAAAATACACCGGGGGGTGCCTGGGTGGCTCAGTCGGTTAAGCGTCTGACTTCAGCTCAGGTCATGATCTTATGATTTGTGAGTTCAAGTCCTGTATCAGGCTCTGTGGTGACAGCACAGACAGGAGCCTGGAGACTACCTCTGATTCTGTGTCTCCCTCTCTCTCTGACCCTCCTCGCTCGTACTCTATAACTCTCTCAAAAATAAATAAGCATTAAAAAAATTAAATATATATAATGTAAAAAACTTTAATTAAAAAATACATATAAATACATATACATATAATGTATACATATACTATATATATAAAATGGTATATCCATTCAAATATGCTGTTCTAAAAAGAGAATAAGGAAGAAAGCTCTATGAACTAACATGAGATGATCTCCAATATATACTGTTGTGTGAAAAACACAAGATTCAAAACCCAATGCATGTCACCATTTAGGATTTAAAAAAAAGAATATATGTATAAATATATGTATAATATATAAATATATATTTGCCTGTATTGTGGATTACACTGCTTGCTTCTATGAAGGCAAACTAGGTAGAGCACAGAAGTGAAAGATAAATTTTTTCACTTTTTGATTTTGAATAATGAAAAATATTACCTATTCAAAATAATTAAAATGTATAGAAATAATATGTATAAAAAAGTTTTTTAATATTAAAAGAAAATAAATGATATAAAATGTCAGCAATGGTTGTCTGCAGAAACTGGAAGACGGATGGGGTTTTGTCGCATCCACTTTTCTGTACTTTCTTACTCGTGTTTTATGAGCATAAACCAATTAAACAGAAAAGCATATTTAATAAACTACAAATAGCATTCTTTTAAGAATGCTTTTTAGGTCTTAGCTTAAAAATCAAATATTTTGTTTCCATGAATGAGGAAACAGATCAAATCCCTTTACAACAGCAATTTCTAACAAAAAAATTAAACACATTGATAGCAGCCAAAGTAAACCTCACACAACACAACATTTAATACAATGTAGTAGAGGCAAACTATAACCTGCAAGTTTAATTTAGCCCTCTGGCTAGTTTTGTCAGGTCAGCAAACTAGGAATGCTTTCTATGTTTTTAAAGGGTTGTATTCTTTTTTTAAGTTTATTTATTTTGAGACAGAGAGAGCGAGAGGGACGTGAGTGGGTGAGGGGGAGGAAGGGAGAAAAACAGAGAGAGAGAGAGAATATGAATGAATCCCAAGCAGACTCCGCACTGTCAGCACAGAGCCTGTTGCAGGGCTCGAACTCAAACCATGAGATCATGACCTGAGCTGAAATCAAGAGTCAGACACTTAACCAACTGAACCACCCGAGCACCCCAAAGGGTTGCATTTTTTTTAAAAAAAACCTACAAAGAAGTACATGAGAAAGAGACCTGTGTAATCCACAAAGCCTAAAATATTTACCATCTAGCCTTATACAGAAAATGTTTCCCAATCCCTGTAATAGGACATACAAAAATAATCTGAATAGTTACTTATATTCATTAGAAACTTTCAAACTACAGTACCAGTAGAATATTAACTATATATCTTTTGAGGTAAATTAATGTTTTTATCTTACCTTGTATTAAAATCTCTTTATGATTCATATATTATGAAGAACAATAAAAATTTTAAACTCAAAACAAAAAAAATCCTACTAAAAATTTAACTTACTTCTAGAATGGGTTTTTATATATTTTATTGCAACAAATCTTGCAAAATGATACATCAGATGAATAAATTTAGGACCACCAGGAGAAAGAAATAGTGAACCAACAACTTGAGGAAAGCCACTTCCACATTCAGCCTATGGAAAAAAGAAATCAGATGATTTGAAGACCTTATCAATAATAACCTTTATACTTATATCATACTGTTTTTGTAGCATAACAGGACTGAACAGGATTAGTCCACTTGAACCAGAAGCTGACTATTTGAATCTTTCTAAATTCTTGGTGGACTGGGTCACAAAAAATAATTACAATATAAAGCCACAATTATTGATACTATGTGGGGACACAAGCTAAAATAATCTATGGTCAAAAAAAGTTTTCTTTAAACAAAAACTATGATATAAAATCCTAGGAACTCAAAAGCCTATTTGCAATGCATCTAGCCAATAGAGCTGATTTCCTAGAAATAGAATACTAACCAAAACCATCCAAAAGTGTTATTCTAACAAATATTTCCTTGCTATTATACTGTGAACGTTAAGAGAGATAAAAAGATTTCACCTCCAAAAATTTAATGTATAATTACATTTCAATAAAGCCAGAACAAAAAATTTAATGTAGTTTCTAACTTCTTAAAGTTAGTATCTTCCAGAAAGAGAATACTTACAGAAATCTTTTTTAACCATTCACAGCAATGTTTCCGGAATTCAGTGTCACTTTTTTGGTCAAACGGAGGCCAACAAAGCCTTAAAAACAAATATAAAAGCATTAGAAATATCAACAAAAAAAAAACTCAGCAAAATTTTTAAACATGAAACTTATTTCCTACACTAGAAACATTAATGCTAAATGAAACAAGACTAACATTTGTAGATTTCAACTAAAGAAAGACACCAACTTGTGAGAAATTGGGTCTTTTTCTTTTTAAATAACTATAAGACTAAGGTCAGTTTACTGTAAATCATCAGTGAATAGGTACGTTAAGTGAAGGAATGAATCACCATTAAAATTAGTACGAATGAGCTAAAGACCACACTCTCAATGGATTCACTGGACTAATGCATAAAGATGGTATATATAAATTAGTACGTTAAGCCTGGAAAGAGAGAGAGAGAGAGAGAGAGAAACATAGTTACACAGGAAGAGTACAGAAGGAATGACATAAGAGCTTTTGACTCCTAGAGATAATCCATATCATATTCAGTGTGTGCTACTGTTTTGTGTTTAAACAAGATATAAAATTATTAAAAAGTTTTGCCTTTGTTTTAGTCAAAAATAATAGACTTTAAAATTTACCTATTGCTTTCCCCTGATAAATTTGTATCCTGAGGCAATTTTTTTTGTTTCTATAGCATAAAATACATTCTATAGTCATATAAAAAATTAAGTATGCACGGAATAAATAGACTAAAAGGCTGGAATGTCAACAGTGATATTTTCTGGTTGGTGAGTTTAGGCATGATTTTTACTTCCTTCCTTACATTTTTTGTATTTCTCGAATTGCTTAAAATGAGCTGTATTTTGTTTATCATCAGGAAAAAAAAAAATCAGAAAATCTATTTTTATTTAGCAGAGAAAACCCTACAGTTTAATGATACAGATTTCCAAAAAAATGTTTTAAAAATACCTGTTCTCCTGGTCACTCATAACTGAAGACAAAATATTAAGAATAAATTATCAAAAATAACAAAGCCTAAACAAATGATTTACTTGTTGCTTTTCTATTTAAGAGGACAATGGCATAATATAAATATTAAAACATATTTTAACACTTTTTCTGACGAAGGAAACCCAAATCACATGCAAAAGAACTTGGAACCAAGGTTAATGGGTATTCACATTTTTATCTCCTCCTTGAACTATTTAATATTCAACAGTATCTAACATGAGACTAAGCTTAATAGGAATGATTTTCACCTACAGCATTTGACACTTTTGTACATCACCGACAAAAATAATAAGGATTTACAGAAATCTAAATGTAAAAGTAGATAAAACAAGTAACACTGCCTACAGGAAAAGGAGTAAGGCAGGGGGTAATCCAGCAAAAAACAAAGTAAGGACAAAGTGAGCCATATAGATAGATTGGTACCAATTAACTGTTTTGCCTAATAATTATGAAAAATGTTAGAAAATAATTTTATAAAACAAAATCTATCTTATCCATGAAATAATCAATGATTTTAAGATAAGTACCAAAGAAAAATCACTCAGATATACAAAGCTTGAAAACTAAATTTCTAAGACTCACACCTGATTTTTGTGACGTCCGTTCAAAATAATAGTGAAAGGCCAAAGTTGAAATTCTGGTTTATACCAAAGCATACTCCCTTTTCAAATTAGAGAATGACTACCTACAAAAAGAAAATAAAGTAACCTGACTCACTTGAAAACTTCTTTGGTGAGAGACTGGTCCAGCGTTTGGAACAAAAAATAAGAAACGATTTGAAAGGCATCACGATTCAGCTTGTCAAACATGTTCCTAGTAGTTTAAAAAGAAATAGAAACAGGAAAAAAAAGGGGGGGAGGGGGAGAAGAAATAGTTAATAAAAGTAAACATCATTAAAAGCTGTGTAAGAGTTTAACACAAATTAACATTTTTAATTCTCTTCAAGAGGTCAAGGCAAATTAATTTTTCATTCATGTTCATTTTTATAAGTAAGAAAAACAATAAACTTTTACTTTCTGAGTCTGAAAGTACAGATCAAATAGAAGAAAACTGGTAGAACTTCCTTTACTGCAATGAGAATATCGTACAAAAAAAGGAAAGCCTAATTAGGTAAAGAGAAAACTATGGCCTATGACATGGTGAAGATGATACAAACCAACATTTACTGAATAATAATAAAAGTAACTAATAATAGTTTATCACTTCCCAGGTATTATTTTAAGCCTTTTACAGGCAATAAGTCATCTAATCTTCACCACAACCATGAAATACTGTGCTAGCTGTTTTACCATGGATTATTTTATGACATTAGAATGTAGTTTGATTACTCTCATTATACAGATGAAAAATTTTTTAATTTAGAGGTTAGTTTGCTAAAATTACCCAAAATCATATAACCAGGATGTGCAAGAGCAGTGATTTGAAGTATGTTATCTGACCCGAGTCCAATGTCTTTACCATTACATTTTAACTCCAGAACCACCATCATATAATGTAATTCTAGCAAGTCTTTTAAAGTTTTGGTTTTTCCGACTTCCCTAGCTAATCAAGACAACGCCTAAAAAAAATACAACATGTTAAAAATAACAACAACAAACTAAACCTTGTAAGAAATGCTATAAGGAATCAAGAGTTAACATAAGGGCACTATGGCAGCCACTGGGCCAGAGTCATCAGCCACTGTTGTACAATGGATGTCTACTCCTCACGCCCGTCTCAACCCTTGGTGTCTGGTAAGACACAGAAAATTCAGGCTTCAGGAACTGTCAGAGCCAAGAGGAGGAGAGTTTTCTGAACTTCATCTACAGCAACAACCTGCTGAATGAAAGGATCCACCTCAGACACCGTGTTCCACTCCATGGCCTACCTGTAGGATTTTAAGCTACACTATGCCAACTTCCAGGGCAAAACAAGGAAAACTTGGCATGGAGATACAGCCACCATTTTTCAAAGGCCTAGCAGTGAAGGCAGAGTAGTAGAATGGAAAATGAAAAAAGCAATTTAAGTTCTCTGAATAAATGAAAAGGAGATAGAAATGGAACACACCCCCAATAAAGTTAAAGTTTACACTCAAGAAGGAAAAGAAATAACCTGCCAAAGTTATCAGATAAGAAATTATGAGAGTGCTCCCCCATTACTCTAGCATAAAAAGGTCATTTGCATGGGTGCAAAAGAGAACAGCTTGCCACTGGAGTATCAACAAAAGTTAAAAGCAAAAGAACCAAATAACTATAAAGGAAAGGTCTCCAAGGAAACTGAAGACATTATCAAAAAGAGAAAAACAGAAACTCACTAGAACATAATACAGTATATCTAAGGATATTCTATGTGCTAATATAAATTTTTTTTGAGAGAGAGATGAGAGAGAAGACCAAGCAGGCACCACGCTCAGCACAGAGCCTGACTTGGGGCTCAATCACTAGACTGTGAGATCATGACCTGAGCTGAAATCAAGAGTCGGAGGCTCAACCAACTGAGGCACCCAGGCGTCGCACAAAAATTTTAATATAAAATATTTTTAACATTTAGAACAGGGATCTGAGATATTTCCATATTCAATACATTTTCAACAATGATCTGAGGGATATCTCAATTGGGTGGTTCCTTATTTTCAGAATCTAAAAAGAAATTGGCTTAGAAGTTAGGCAATTACAAAAGGAGCTGTGAGGCATTGGAATTCATGACAAATATACATGAATGCTCCTTCTATGAACACATAAAGCAATGTTCTGGCGTTGAAAAAAAAGAGTTAAAATTCCCATGCTTACTCCTATGTCAAACAACACTTTTGTCCTTGAAATTATTTCTATTCCTCAACAAACACAAGTGAAGCTCCTACCTTATCTCTCAAACCAGATATTTTTTTCACATAGTACCCTGTTGTCTTCACTTTGACACTTATTATAATTTTTAATAAGACATTTGTTGAATGTGGGAATGCAAGCTGGTGCAGCCACTCTGGAAAACGGTATAGAGGTTCCTCAAAAAACTAAAAATAGACCCTACGACCCAGCAATTGCACTACTAGGCAT